TATATATATATATATATATATATATATACATATACATATACATATATATCCACATAGTTAGTCTGACAGAACAACTATCGCTATAAAGAACTAGTGACGCGTCCTACAATAGATTCTATTTGCTCAATGCGTCTTTATTCTCTATATATTCTTATCATAACATTAATATAATTTTTTTTTTCAATGGCCTAATTTTTAAAAAAGAAACAATAAAAAAAAAGATTGCTAAGAAAATAACCAGAAGTTAATTTTATGTTTATTTTTACCGGTTACAATAAAAAAAGAAACAATAGAAAGGGATTAAGGATTAATAATAAACGGGTCCAATATACAATATATATTTATATTTGAAGTATTTTTACATAGGAAATTCTAATCTACATCGGTAGTCAGCAAGGAGAATAAATGATAGCATAAAAAAGATAGTAATAACAAAACAAATAGTAATAACAAAACAAATAGTAATAACAAAACAAAAAGACCAAAAAAAAAAAATACGAAAAAAACAGTAGTAAAATGAAAATATCTGAGATCGTAAATCCAGAAAATGTATAGTTTTTGGTATCTAAAAGTTAATGTTTTTAAGATTGAAAATTATATATATATTTATTTTAATACGTATATAAAGAGGGTTGGATAACCGAGCGGACTAACGCCTCTGCAAATCACGATTTACCCGGCAACCTTATAAACAGATACCATGATAAATTAAATACGAGTTCGTCTCCTCCGGGAAGGAGGGCTTTTAACCTTCCAATTAATCCCCTTACCCTCTCCCCTGGCTCGGGAAAAAACTCCGTATAGCAAGGAAGGGATGGAAAAAAAAAATGAATTTAAATATTAGTTACATTAGATGAACATAGTACTAATACTTATAATAGGCATAAAATTCGCAAGTACAAATCATCCAGATCTGGGTCATTGTGATTCATTATTTTTTAAGTATTGTTTCTTGGTAAACGGTTGTGCAGGGTGGTGATTTGGCCGAGATCACTTTATATTAATAAAGGAAAACCAACTTCCTTAATTAATTAATTATTGAATTAAGAGTAACAATTTAATGAGTCTCAGTGTGCCACAAGAGGATCTTCCGATTCTAGGAATAAATTCGAACTTGAGACCTAGAGCATAGGAGCACAGTGACTTTCCGATCCTAGATGAAAATATCGACATTAAAAATGTATTGCACACTACGTTGCACTAAGTAGACCTTTTCGAGGATTTACACAACGCCCCAGAAAACAACAGAATGAGAAGTTACTTCCGAGAGCTTAGCAATGAAGCAGCGACTTAATTAAACGAAGGTTCTCCCTTTTTTTTCTTTTATTTTTAGCTTTTTAATTCTACCCTAATTAACTAAAACCAAGGTTTTAACCTCAGGGATAAAATTTATACTAATAATATCAAGAACTACTCGACTGTGGCATCGGAAGCGAACTCACATTTGAGGGCTTTAATTATGTATAGTGCTCTCTGAATTCTATTTTATAAGTGTCCTTTATTGAGACAGATCGTAATATTTATCAATAAACAAATAATCTAAAAAGAAATTTAAGTACAAGAATTCCAATGCTAAATTTTTCAAAAATGTTTCAATAAATTTTTATCTTTGTGAAAATCTTAATCTTGTTGATCTTTGTAGTTTTTTTTAATCAAAACTAGCTCTATCCACTGCCACAGACCCTGGCCTATATTACAATAAAGTAATAAATTTACTATTTCATTTTTCCATATTTATTATTTATATAAATTAAAAAACATTTTATTATTATTTTAATAGCGACTTCCCTAGTGGAAAACCCAAAGAGGGAACAATTATCAGTTAAAATCGACACATCGCAAACTAAAATTTTTTTTACTGACAATGTTCATATAATATAATTTAAGTCACTAATTTTATTGCTACAGAATACGCTTGATCTAATAAATTCCTTCATAGTAAAAGGCTTCGATTGTCGATGTTGTATCCAATTGTCCACTAAAAGCAAGTATTAAATGCCTTTTCGGCGTTTCTATGACGTATTTATAATGATAAATAAAATAGGTGCAAAGAAATTTTCCAATGAAATAAAAATAAAAATACTGATTTTTAAAACACTCAAGCGAACCTTTACTGGCATTAAAATATGCTTTTTTATCCTTCTCAGGGCCAGTTACTTCAACTCAGTAAAGCTTAGATTAAGCGTTATCTAAGATTAAACCAAGTTTAATCTTAGATAAGACTTGATCTAAGCTTTACTGAGTTGGAGCAGCCGGCCCTTAAAAAAATTATAAAAGAAAAACTTTACCGTTTCAGCTAATATATTCCCGGAAATTGGATACTCTCGTGATATCTGCTGCAAAAACCAGATATAAAAATATCCCTCAACTTCTTGATGATCGCCTTATTTTAAAGTTTTCCTTCTAGACACCAAAAGACGGTTTCGACACAACCACACGAAGCAATTACAGTCATACTAAGGGCAAGTTTTTCCAACTCAGTAAAGCTTAGATTAAGGGTTATCTATGATTAAACCAAGTTTAATCTTGATCGGTAGACCTTGGAAAACTTGGTTTAATCTTAGATAACGCTTAATCTAAGTTTTACTAAGTTGGAGCAACTGGTCCTAAGTGAGAAACACCCGTCTCTTATCAGCTAACTTTGAATTTTTTAGGCGTCATAGGGTTATAATTCGCAAAATTTTCACACACAATCTTATGTCTCCAAAACTTAGGTAAAAAAACAAACCTGCCAACGTTTCAGGCATCATGAGGACAGAAAAGAACATCTAATTGAACATCACTCTAAGATATCTAAACGCATACTGCAAGGCTATGGAGTATGTGTTTGGATATCATTAAGTGATGTTCAATTAGATTTTTTTTTTAATGTTCTCATGATGCCTGAATTGGCGAAACTTTGACATGTTTGTTTTTTTTGCCTGCATTTTGAAAATATAAGTCTGTTAACATTTTTTCACATTATAACCCAACGTTTTTGTTATGTCTCTAGATTAGTTCATTACTAATTTATTTAAGAATAAGTTAGGCGTGGTGCGTTAAAAAAATACCTTATTGTATAATAGTATATTTGATTAAATTGTACAACGTTACGACCTTCGTTCTAAGTCTTCTTCAGAATACTTAGAACGAAGATACAATATAAGATACAAAGATATATATTTAAGATACAAGCAATATATATGAGTTATTTAATTATACATAAATAGCATATATTAATTATAGAAAGTTACAGTATATTTAAATGACCATTGACATTCAGTTTAATTTGGAAAGGTAATAGATTATTAGGATGTGTGGAGTATACTAAGGGTAATAAATAGTAGATATATTAATAATAAAGTCTATGTTTTTGACTTTTATTATTATTTGTTTGTTTTGATGTCTAGGCGTAAAATATCTAGATCATCTGAGCTCGATCAACTAAATAACACTACTTTTATATTTTTAGGTGGTTGGTACAAAAAAACAAAAATGATAAAAAAAAAAATAATAGAATAAAATAAATAAATAAAGATTCTTTGTTATTAGGCAATGAATACTCCTAATTAACAACAATTTAATTTATTTGTTGTATTATCAAAATTGCATGTTTACAAGTTTACGTTTCGGTATATTTACTCACATCTTCAGAACCACAATCCCAATGATCTTGTGGATACATGGCTTAAAAATAATGTGCTCCATCGTCAGTTTTTAACCCATTTTATAATAAATATAGTTATATAACATCTAAAGCAACATCTTGCTTTTAGACTAATTATTGGGTGTTTCTTCCCTTGGGTGTTGCTCTAGATGTTATATACCTAGATTTATTATAACACGGATTAGAAACTGACGATGGAGCACATTAGTTTTAAGCCATGTATCTACAAGATCATTGGAATTGGGTTTCTGAAGATGGGAGTAAATATCCCGAAACGTAAACTTGTAAACATGCAATTTTGATAATACAACAAATAAATTCAATTGTTGTTAATTGGAAGTAATCATTGCCAAATAACAAAGAATATCATACAACTTTCCAAAAAAAAAAGAAAACAGATTAATAAAGATAATAATATACACTTATAGATAATAAGGTAGAATATATAAATAAATAAACTAAAAAAAATCAATAAATGAATTGAAATTAATAAATTATTTATTATTATTATTATTCTTAATATATCAACTACGTATTACTCTTAATATATTCCATTAGTTGGAGGGACAAGTCTGGCTCGGGATTCTCTCGCCAGATTGTAAATATTGTATATAGGTATATGTGTTCTTTTAATTTTTAGTTTATTTTATTCTTATTTATTGTACATTGAGTGTGAATGTGATCTCTTAACACTATTATAAATGTCCTAGAAATATACTCCATACATCGATTACCATTCCAAATTGAACTTAATGTCAATAATTATCTACGTGTACTATAACTTTCTATAATTAATATTTATTTTTTAAATATAATTAAATAACTCATATATATATTGTTTGTATTTTATATAGCCCTGAAAGAAGACTAACAACGTAGGTCGAAACGTTGGAAAATGTAATAAAATATACTATTATATAATATAGTATTTTTTGATCTCACCTCCGACTTCTGAAATTAGAATCCACCATTTCCATACCGTTACTAATTTATACTAATTAAATATTTTTTTTTCTTTATTCTTTGGATTACTATAATTCTTTATTATTCGTGTAATATTGGTATTAATCTGATTATATTGGTTGACGAGTCAAATCATAGAAAATGTTCTTATATATGCACAATTTACCAAAACTCTAATATTCCGCAAAACTAATTATAATTATGCCTTACTATATATGATAATAATATTTTATTGTATACGTCAATGCTACATTTTATAATAATGTTAGTTTCAAATCGACTTTACTATTGTTTAATACTTTGCAAGGGAGACTAAAGACGCATTGAGCCAAGAAGCACCGGACTGTAGAGAAGAGAGCAACCTGGTGAGAAATACCTTAATTAGATTTACCTGTGCACTTGAGGCCCTGCTGAGTGAGCCCGTGTAGCATGGAGCCGCAATGGTCGCAGAAGGTAATGGCCAGGTAGGTCGTCGTCTCGAACTTATGCCTCGAGAACTCGGCCTGGTGAAGAGACTCAGGAGTTCTCCAAGACCGCTCTTGCCCGGGGGGTATGTCCCGGGGGCAAAGGCGGCAGGAGGAGAAGAACGAGGAAGAGAAGGAGGAAGAAGGAGAAAGTAGGAGGTGAAGGAGGAAGCCAGGGGTTGGCTTGATCACGGGGACATCAGCAATGGCGAGGTTCGGACGTGGTAAGACCACAGGCTTAAGAAGAGTAGTCCGTAAGTAGTGGGAAATATTTATAATGATGTAGAGATGGTTGACCGTAGATATAATATGAGAAGGAGTTGATCTGGGGGTGCGGTCAAATAAAAACTAAATTATAGGAATAGTATTATTTAATTTTTTTGCCGATGTTTCGACCCACTTAGCAGGTCTTCATCAGAGCGTAGGATGTAGCACTGCGGGAGGCAGTTGAAACACTGGCAGTGTAATAAGTGTGCCTCCCGCAGTGCTACATCCTACGCTCTGATGAAGACCTGCTAAGTGGGTCGAAACGTCGGCAAAAAATTAAATAATACTATTTGTATATTTTTTTATAGTTATCATTACAGACCTCAAGAGTTACAAAAAAGTTCATATAAATAATGTAATCCATAATTTGACTCCAATCAAATTATTAACATCAGCCTACAACTTTTTAAATAGCTTCATCTCATCGTAACCTACAAATATTTTAAAGGAAGGAGATGAGGTCCGGGGTGGCGGTAATAAATAGGCTAAATAGTGGTAAAACTATTTTTATTAAAAGCCAACGTTTCGACCCGACTTTGCAGGTCTTCTTCAGGGACGCCTGTTCAGCAAGGAGTTTCACTTAGAACAGTTCTCACCACCTGAACACCTCCCTGAAGAAGACCTGCAAAATCGGGTCGAAACGTTGGCGTTCAATAAAATAGTTTTGTCACTATTTAGCCTATTTATGATCGCCACCCTGGACCATCTCCTTCCTTTATAATGCAATGGTCAACAAGTAAATATTCTATACAAATATTTTATTTAAGAAAATTCTCGGAATTGTGGCGTTTTCAATCTGAAGATCGACAAACTTTGTCTATTTAATCAGGCACCAAATACTCGTAAATACAAATTTGCTTTCCACTTGAATCGTAAGATAATTTTAGCACAAATTCGAGAAAAAAGGTGGCCTTCAATAATATTGAACCGTTACTTAAAATGTCAAAATAACAAGGTTATACAGGCCAAACGGATCAATATTTTTGTAGGCCACCTTTTTTCTCGACTTTGTGCTCAAATTATCTTACCGTTCAAGTGGGAAGCAAATATTTACGAGTTTTTAGTATCTAATTAAATAGACAAAGTTTGCCCATCTTCAGATTGAAAACGCCCCAATACCAGAAGTTTTAGAAAATAAAATAGTTGTATGTTACGATGAGATGAAGCTATTTACGAAATTTCAAGCGGATGTTAATAATTTGATAAAAAGGGGTCTGTCTACACCACGGACTATTGGTCCGATTTTCGGTAGAAAGTAGACAATTTAAGTTTTGTGCTTTTTTAAGTGTCACGTTTTTTGTTAAATAGGAAGCAATAACTAAAAAAATATTTAATTTAAGTAATTAAGATTAACTTCACCGTAAACAAGATAAAAGTAACTTTCAAGAAAAATAGAGTTTGTCATTTTTAAAAATATTTAAAGAGTACTTCTGACCGGCTAAATCCAGTTAAATAATTTGCATTTTTGTTTTTGTTATCCGCCAATTAAGATACAGATACCCCACTTTTAAAGAAAATTTCTCGTTTATTAACTTTTAAGGCCATATTGATTAAGTTGAGATTTATTAGCAAAAAAAGTTGATATTTCCTTATAGTATTTTACTTGTAAAAAAATTAATTGATTTTATATCCTGTTATCTAAAAGTATCCGTGTACCGGTAAAACATTAATTTATTTTTTCTCCATGAACTGAGATTGTATAATAATAAAGATAAATGCACAAAGAAACTTTTTATTTCATAAAAAAAAAAAATTGTATAATGATTTTTCGATCACAACTTTTTTCCTAATCAACCTTAACTTAATTAATAAGGAATTAAAGCTCTTTAAACGAGTTTTTCTGAAAGTGAGGTGTCTGTAGTATAGTTGGAGAATGATAAAAAAAATTGCAAATAATTTAAGATTTTTTTTTTACAGAACTTTATTTAGTTTAGCTACTAAAAATCGTCTTTAAATGGTTTTAACAATGACAAAATTACTTAAACAAACAGAAAATTTAGATTTTCTAGATTTCTGCTAAAAATAGGATCTTTGTTTATATACACTTTTTAGTAGCTCTTGAGATGTGCTTTCACTCCAATAAATATTTCCGTCTACTTATGGCACACATTGTATATGAAATCTATTAATATATCAAGATAATATGGATGGAAAATAGTCAGGATACACAGCTAGGATAAGTTTGCCGACGTTTCGACCCAACTATGTGAATTATCTTCAGGACAATGGTTTGCAGACAAGACAAGAACTGACAGTTTGGTCTGATCATGCTTGGGTCAAAACGTCGGCAAACCTACTTATTTACTGCATATCCCGACATTTTTTTTTCATCCATTCAATTTTAACATTCAACTATATATTCATATCTATTAGCATGATAATTTATTCAGCTAACCTACGTTGTGGATCTTCAACAGTTTTTTTTTTTCTATTCTAACATCAAGAATATCATGCTAGGGGTTTCTTGATGTTGTGATAGAAAAAACGTAGGCACGCTGAATAAAATTCAGACTGAAAAATTCAATAATTTATCATCTTGATAATCTTTATCAATAAAAATCAATCTTTATAATAAAAAAAATTATAATGTGAACAAAATTATTCATCTATAAATTTATTAATCTTCAGTCTCATAAATAAATTCTATTATTATCATTATTTAATTTTTTACGATATAAAACAAAAATACTTTTTAAGATCTTGTTTGCCATTCGTAAGCTGTATATTTCAAAAATATTAGACCAGACAGATGAAGATCGATACGTAATAATTTTACGAAAAATGTTGTCCTTAGTGAAAAATGTATTATAATGACAATTTAATTTTATAAAAATGTAGTTTTCATTTTCTTAAAGCTTATTTGTATGGTATATAGGGTACTTCAGTTCTTAATGACCAACCTCTAATTCTAGACAAAATTTCGATCAAAAATATTTAAAGGTGGTCACGGTTTTTATTGAATAAGAAGGAATTGCTCATAAACTATTAAAGATAATTAAATTCTAAGTACACCATCGAAAAGTAGAATTTTTTTGAGAAAACTGTGATAAAATTTACAATGATAAATGATAAAAGGGACAGGTCTGATTATAGTATTTTTATACCATTGTATCTCTGTGTATCGCATTTACTAGATGTATAAAATAAGATGAATAAAAAAAAATGTTTTAAAACAACATATATACAAATAAGCTATATATTTGTTAAAAGAAATCCGATATCGATGATTTTTTTTTGTTTTGTTGTTCAGTAAATAAATATACAATAAAATGTATACTTTTTAAATTATTCGCGAACAAAATCTCTTTTACCTCATAACTATTTTCCTCATACCATACTAAAACGACAAGAAACCGCTCGACGTTTCCGATTACTTCAGTACTGACTAGACGAACGATCTAAACTTCCAATTAATTACAAAAGACTCATAAACATGACTATAATAAGGCCTATTTGGACTTACGGAGTTGAGCTATGGGGTTCCACTAAACCATCGAATTCCTCTCGTATCCAATCCTTACAATCCAAAATCCTTCGTAAAATCCTCAATGCTCCTTACTTTATTTCAAATAAAACCATCCATAATGATCTTAATGTTTCTCATGTTTCAGATCTGGCCCAATCCTTCCAGAATAAACTTCAGAATCATCCCAACCCTCTCGTTTCTAACCTTGCTTCCTCTTCAATTCCTAATAACCCTCCGAGGCGTCTGAAAAAAAAAATGGCCCCGTGATCCCCTAATGTAGAAATGTCATTAGAATGCTACCACTGGGTAGTTAGTTACTCAACAAGTGTTTTCACGTCATTATATCCATATGTTATATCCATATATCATTCAGAAATAAAAAAATAAAAAAAAGTTTTTCCCAAAATTTCGGAAAGATGTCTATTTTTCTCACCACAAAGAGAAGGAAATCTTCAAAATAATATATTAATTTTAGGATTTGATGAAGAATTGACGAAGATATGGCGTACAGAAAAAAAAAAAACAGTGAATAATAATACAAAGTTAGAAGTCAGTAAGCTCTTCCAATTAATTCATTTGAATGCTGCGACCTCATTCTTGAATAAGCAATCGATAATAAATCGGAATCGGAATCCAAGGAGGTTATATTTAAAGAAGGAAAGTAAATTCCGAAGGCTCATTATAAAAAGCCAGCTCTTACTTTATCCCGACTAGCTTAACACTCAAATATTCCCTTCTCCAGGGGAGAGGGCCATTTTTATCCCGGCTCATCCCCTTCTTCCTGGAGGAAAGGGGGGGGGAGAGAGCAATTCATAACTCCCCCCCTTCCTATCTCTTTCTGGAGCTAGTTCCAGTCCCATTTCCTAAGATGAAATTTATGTAAAAGCCAATTTTTCATAAAATAGCACAGATTTAAAAAAACAAAAATAAATCGATAGGGGTCATTAGGATTAGTTGGTCTTCATACAATCTAGCGGGATAAAACTAGATGTGTATGAATTCATTAATTACAATTAATTAATAATAGGTTGTTGCTATATCCACACAAAGACATTTCATCATTAGAAATCTTTTTAACAAGAAAAATATGTTTATATTTAATATTATAAATGTAAAAATCCAAACTATAAAGTCACGAGTCACTAACATATAGGTGAAAACTTGCCAATGTTTCGCCAATTTAGGTATCATGAAAAAAACAAAAGATCACTCATATAAGAAAAGAAAATCGCTATGGACATATCACGAAGTCTTCAAAATACATAATGAAGGAAAGAGAATGTTCTATCAACAAAGAAAGGTTATATTGAACAGCTGATTAGCA